TGAGGCTGCTCCTGTCTGTCTATAGAGGACCTCATCCGCTCGGTCTTCCTGGTCAGGTGGCCTGTAGCAGACCCCCACCGTAATGTCACCTGTCTCTGCCTTCCCTTTAATCCTGACCCACAAGCTCTCGGTCGGCTCCTCATCCATCCCCAGGCAGAGCTCCATGCTCTCCAGCTGGTCATTGACATAGAGGGCGACACACCCTCTTGTCTCCCCTCCCTGTTCCTAAAGAGCCTGTATCCCTCCACCCCAACACTCCAATCATAGGAGCCATCCCACCATGTCTCCGTGATGCCAATAAGGTCGTAGCCTTGCAGGCATGCACGTGTCTCTAACTCCTCTTGTTTATTCCCCATGCTACGTGTGTTTGCATAGAGGCATTTAAGTTGGGCCTCCGATGAAGCTGTCTTACTGGCTGGGGGTCCTTTGTGCTGCCCTTCCGGCCCCCAATGAATCTCAGGAGTCATTCACTCTCGGGATGGGAGACAGAATCACCAACATTAAAAATACTTTCACAACTGCTGGCCTCCTAAAAATAGAGGACGCTGTAATTCTGCAGATCTACTAACTATATGCAGTTAAGATAAAGGGAAGCTTGTTGTACAGTCTCTTCCTCCTCAGTACTCTCTCCGACACTGCCCTTGAGCAGGTTTCCACTGACTTGTTTTCAACAAACTGTACTTTTAAGAAGGTGAGTTATCCATACCAGAAATTGTGCAGAAGAAAATGCAATAATTGAAATTTTAAATTGCATTAGATGAAGCAGAGAGAGCGCGAGAGACTAGCTCAATGAAATACAGTAATTTGCCTTCTGTGTGCCATTAGCAAGTGGCAAAAGTGCCCTGATAATAATTTCTTGCAAGCATTTTTGCTCAGCATCTCACCCTAACTTCTACTGCACTTGAGTACATACGCTCAGCTCCTGAAAGTTATCAAAACCGTCTTTCTGGACCAATGCAGCTCACTACGTTTACCTTCAGTCTCATATTCTCAGGACAAACCTTTTGTCACAGACCAAATGTGTATTCTCCAAGTGTACTTCTGCAGGAGTAGCTAAAGTGCTACAACTGCATCATTCACCTATGTACTTAGACAAGCACTGAACAGACATGAGCACAAAAGTCCAAGTAAATTCAGATGCATACCTTCAAGTACCCCTACTGCTAGAAATCGCCCGTAAAACAACTCCACCATTGGGTTCTTTGGTTTCTCTCCATCCCTGAAAACAGAAAGCGCGTTAGTGCAAAAATCAAATACAAAGCTATGGACTTTTATAAAACTATGAGCAGAATATTCTGAATTCATTATGGAAATGCTGCCTATTTTACTCAATTACTGTTCATTAAGTTTTGTACTTTCCTCTAATGACAGTAACAATGATTCACATATTTGCAATGATAAGTACATTCTGAAAATTTTCAGAAGTGCTTCATTCTAAGAAAATTTATGTAAATCAGATTCTATTCGTGAGTGGTTGAACTGTACAAAACCCTTGTAAAAACTATTTCCTGCAACACTCTAGAAACAATTATGTATTCCAAAGACAGTGTATAGATGTTCACTTATACAAACAATGAGTATTTACTTCTGCAAAGAGAAGTATAATGAACATTTTGATGAGAAAAAGCAAACCAAACAACCAAAATCCACTTCTCATTGTATGGCTGAAAAAGATTCAACTGAGTTGGATACAGAGCTAGAAAAAAAAAAATCTTACCTCTCTTCTTCGGCTTTAATTTGGAAGGCATCTTCTAGCCAATCTAATAATTTGTGTGTAAATTCACTAACATCTTGCTGTTGAAAAATATAAAGTGATTAGTACATGTTCACATATGTAACAGAACACAATGAAGTGCCACCTTACAAGATGAGTATAGCAGTATTCCCCGCCCTGAAGAGCTCCAGAATCACACTATGTTTAAGACTATGCCATGATTGGTTTTTTTATGGGTGGCTCTTAGAGCACACTAAGGCTCTGGTGTTCCTCAGCCATTACACTGTCCTGTGATCCTTATTACTTGGGCTCAGCTTTCATACCACACTAGTCCAAAGGCATCTTATGAATCCTATTGTTCAAACCCTTTGGTATCTAACAAGTGGTGACTAATATTACTTTCATCGAGCACTAAATTCAGCATGCTATTGTAATTAAACACCTTAGCTACATAACCTCATCTGGGAAAAATAAAGCACCTGAAGAAAAAGTGTTTCTCAGGAAAGCAAAACATACCCACTACAGTTTAGACAAGAATCCTGAATATGAATATTAGGACCCTCCAAACCAATATCTACATTGACAAATAGTATATTAGGACTGTACCAGCCCTGGATGTACTGTTAGATCAGAAGAATAAAGCTCTTTCAAAAACCACAGACTTAGAAGCTAAACTAAACCCTAAAAGCAAGAATGTGGAACTACTAGTTAGTTTCTAAAATAATAGGAAGAAAGTGTACTGAATAAAATAGTCATGCTGTCTGGAATTTTTTTTGTTTTGTTTTTTTTTTTTAAATAAAAGTGACAAGAGACCACATAATATTAGAGAAAAAGCTCAAAGACTGTGATAATTAGAAGTTTCTTTTCTGTGGACATTTTGAATTTTTGTTGTCCATTTTAAGTTTTTCCTATTGTCAGATGACCATATGAAAACATGCGTAAACTTGAATAAAAATACATAGAAATCACCTGTTGGGAATCATTTGATTTAAAAGCATCTTTAAGGATTTCAACCGCTCTTGATGGGTCAACATATTTTCTCTTCGAACCAACTAGAAGTGCAAACAGGTACCTCAATTCACGCATGAAAGGCAGATTCCTATGTTCCTGTATTTGAAGAAGAAATAAAAATATTTAACAAAGAGGTCACAAAAATGTACTTTACAGAAGTGCTACCCAATGAATTAAGCGTATATCCAGCCAATCATCATAATAGTATATAAGCTTACTTGTAGTACTACCAAGGTAGTGTTGCATGCCTTTTACTTGTCAGTTTTACAAAATAATGTAGTTCTCTGGGAAGAAATTACATTTCAGAAACTGAAAGCTCCCCAAAACCACATCTAGACGTGCTTGTTTGACTTGAAATGGGGCTGAACGGACAAGTGGACAAACTGAGTTGCATTTAAGACAGAACTGTTGTTCCCAAGACTTACAAAGCCTTAAGTAACGCACTGCAACAATATGCATTGATTTTATCAAAATTAGTACTCCTCTATACCTCTAGCAGAATTTCTTGTGAGCCTACACACTGCCTAGTACCTTTTAAAGTTTATTTTTTACTGAAGACTAAATTTATAAGGTGTACACGATTCTTTATTATTTCTCTTGAAAGGAGTAAGAGAAATAGCCTGCTCTCCTTTCTACTTTTTTTTTAAGTATAGTTCATGGGGAATATGGAGTTCTTTTTCTGGTTTCCAGGAGAGAAGCAGAAGAAATACTTTCTGCCTGTATAATGAAAAGCAAGTAAACTGAAACACAAATCCATCATACCATAGATTAAACCACAGGTTACAAATGCTGTGGAGATTGGATATCACTCATGCTCCTGAGTAGACAGTTGGCAAATAACTTGTGAAATTAAAACCTATGTAATATCCACTTGTATTTAGAACAAAGTATCGTTCAAAGGCAGCACAGATGTCAGATGCTGGTCAAACTGGAATTACTTGATGACAAACTATTTCACATGCTCATCAAACAGCAGACTTGTTTAGTCACTCCTATGTCAATCCAGTATGCATAAAGCTTTTTGTACATAAAGTCTGTTTTATTTCAGCTTTAAAAACTGTGCATGGTGAATTGGAATATGTTCTGCATAATACCTAAAAAATAACTTCTAGTCATGTAAATTCCCAAGTTTTACTTGCTCTTCTAGTCCACCGTGCAAAACACCTGCCAATTATAAACAACGTTCACAGAAAAGGCTGAAGACTTCATCAAATGCCACCCTAATTCAGCATTAAATCATCATAATTTAAGAATAAAAGCAGTCTCCTGTTTACATATTTAAAGCACTTTATAACAACAAAACAGGGAAACAAATTGTGAAAGTGGTTTTTTTCTTACTATTTTCATAAAGTGATCTACGAAAAATTAATAGAATATCAAGTTTAGATACAGATATATTTTATCAAGATGCTTCAATACCAGTGATAATTCTATGTATAATATAGATGATTGACCACAGAATACTCTAGATCTCACCTTCCTTTCGTTAAATTTGAAGTACATAGGCAGTGAGTATTATTGCATTATTTCGTTAAATTTGAAGTACATAAGCAGTGAGTATTATTGCATTACTTAGCCAAATTTACACTACTAGTTTGGTTGAGTTTTAAGCATACTTGTAGCTTTAGGTTGAACAACTGGCTACTGATGTCAGCAGGATTACTCAGAACAAACATCTCTGTAAAGCCTATAAGAGTTCTTTAAAACTAGAAAAATCCTTGTTGTTTTTTGAGAAAGCTCGATTTAATGCATTAGGCATGATCCTTGACCAGATTATGTGAACATTACCACAACAAACAGTGATTCTGACTAAACGAAGCCTAAAATCTTCAAAAGGACATGAGCCAGTCCCCAAGACAAGGTATACAGTTCCACAAAGGACTTGCACGTTAAAACAAAAAAGCTAATAAAGTAATCACAGCACAGCATACAGCTCTCAATTTTAAAGCATACTATAGGTGCAATAACACAAAAAAAGATTAACATTGATTTTAAAATAAAAGCTGTATGGAAAGTTCATAATCAAAAGCATTCTCTATTTTATCACCTATCCTGCCTGCATAAATAATTTCTTAATACACTGATGTTGGAACAATTTATGATTAAGAAATGCTTCTAAAGCAATCTACCTGTTTAATACATAGCAAACATTCATTATTGTGAATCAGTATGCCAGGACACTGGCATAACAATAATGTTGAAACAGGGGGAAGGATGTGCTAACCTGTAGCACAGTAACCCACTTCCTCTGATAAAACGTTTCCTGAAGATATTGTTGAGGCCAAATATGTAGCTGGCCTCACTGCGTACAGCAAAGAAGATCTGTTCGTATGACGGCAAGAGGTAAGAGAACTGAGACACCAAAGAGGCTGCAGTAACTACAGAGAAACATATTTGTTCTACAGAAGGAAGCTGAGGAACACACCAAGGAAGAAAAATTAATTTCAAATGAAAAAGAACAAAACCAGATTGGAGATTTTAAGTATGCCCAAGTTTCCAATCCAAAAAAACAAAGTCCAATTAGCCGAGGCAAA